GAGCCCCTATTGAATGCAGTTAACCAGCCCAGCACATTGACATTGGTTAGTGGAAGGGAAAACATAAAGTTTGAGAATTGTGAAAAGACCATATTAATAGTTTTTAAAGGATATGATAATCAATGAAGGGGTAGCCATTTTAGAAGGTAGGGAAAACAGATAATTAAGCACTGAAAAAAGACATAAAGCTTTTGACAGTGACTGATGAGCTAAGAAACTGTTTTGATATTTCCCATTATTCATGTCCACAAAGTGATCACTATTTTCCCCTATGTGGAACCTGAGCTGTCCCATAATATAGGCACATATATATGGTAGAACCTCAATAAAGGTCTCTGAACACGTGACTATGTTTATGAAAAAGAATTAACAATCAAAAGAAGAAGGAGAAGGAAAAGAAGAGGCCAAGATTTCCTAATGAGCTGAGTGGAGATGAATGTGTCATGTACTTCTTCAGGGAGTCTGTAGTTCAGGGAAAGAAAAATGCAGTAACATGATGAAAGATCAGACCTTCATTGTATATAGAAAACTATCATACTATGCCTCCTCACCATATGCTCATTCCATGCTAAGTTTATATACCAAAGTGAAATAAGAAAGTAAGATGCATGACATTTGGGTTTTTGGAAAGAATAATAATAAATAAATGAACAAACAAAATAGAAACAGACTCATAGATACAGAGAATAGATCAATGGTTGCCCAGAGGTAAGGGAGGTGGAGGGTCTAGGTGAAAAAGCTGAAGGAATTAAGAAGTACAAATTAGTAGCTACAAAATGGTCACAAGGACGTAATGTACAGCTTAGGGAATATAGTCAATAATATTTTAATAACTATGTATGCTCCCAGGTGGGTACTGGAAATATTGGAAGGATCGCTTTGTAACATTTATGATTATCCAACCACTATCCTGTACACTGAAATTAATACAGAATGATATTGAATGTACTATAATATATATATAGATTATAGTGACCGTTCAACCATTCAACTGTTGACTAGTAGCTATGACATGCACTCACCACCATGGGGCAGATGCTCAATGCACAAGCATGGAAACATGGAACAGACTGATGAATCTCAGAGGGAAGGAAAGAGGGGGGAGGGTGGGAAAAGATTAACCAAAAATCTTATATGGCCTGTGGGGATCGGGCCTAACCTCAGATTATGAGATGGTGCAGGCCAGGCTGAGGTACTCCACTGGTGCACGAATCCATGCACTGGGCTGCTAGTTGAAAAATAAAGTTAAAAATAAATAATAAAAGAAGCCTGCATGATTAAAAAAAAAATTCCAAACAACCACATCCAAAGATTAGTCATTTTCAAAGTTCAGTTATTACACACACTTATTTGTCTTATTGTTTTGGAATGCTATTCTGCAAATGTATCAGATCCTTTTAATCTCAGGGCCCTATTTTTGATTTCCTTGCTTATGTAAGAGTTACTCACTCAAAATCTGTTCTGCTGATGGGTTATGAACTCCTCGATTATTTGTTGTTGAAGCTTGCTTTTGATTATGAGAATCCAGGAGTCATGATGTATTGTTGCTATGGTAATGAATATGTATAAATAGATGATTAAGGGTGGGGGGAGGTTAAATCATGTGACATATTAGCATGTAAATTTCTTTTCAGTGAAATAAAAAAGTCTCAAATGTAAATTTTTCCTGTTACATATACAAAATGCAAAAGATGTTATATCACATCTTGAACCATGCATTGGTATTGTTTATATTAAATAACAGAAATTAGTCAATATACTCTAAAGAGTATTTTCTTAATAATATTTCATTTAAAATATATTGGATTAAGATTGAGTTAATTTCCATGGATTTATGTGTGTATGTATAAATAAATTATACTTTTAAATAAAAATTGGGACATGTTATAAGGATGAAGATTTCTTGGTTGCCATAAAGGTGGCCTTAAGGACTCAAGAATATAGAAATATTTCTAATTGCCAGATAATGTCTTTATCTTCCAAGCTTCTGTGGTATGATGTTGGAAGAAGAACATGCACAAGAGGACAGAGGGAAATTGTTTGTTGCAGACCTAGTTTAAAATACTCCTACAAATTAAGTACTTGGATTTTTTGATATATTAACCTTTTTTTTTGTTGTTGTTGTTGTGGTGTCACAGAATTTTGTACCCAGAATTCATGATTTTTTCATTGGCTGGCCATATACTGACTGTCAAGGCACTTAATGATTCTTTTGGTGTTTTATACTGAACTTAAGATAAAGATCTTTGCTATCTGATGAGGATTCATTAGACCAGCACTGCCCAATTGAGGTACTATATAAACCACATATATAATTTAAACTTTTCTAATAGACATATTAAAAGTAAAAAAATAATAGGTGAAATTCATTTTAGTAATATACATTATTTAACCCAATATGTTCAAAATATTTTTATTCAACATGTAAAATATATAAATTATTAATGATATATTTTACATTCTAATTTTGTATTGTGCTTTTAAATTACAGCATGTATTTTATACTTACAGCACATGTCAGTTTGAACTAACATGTTTCTAGTGCTCAATATCCACATGTGGCTACTGAAGACCACACCGTGTGGCTAGCAGATGTCATAGGCACAACGCACCATTAGACTAAGAGGGAAGTGTTGAATTTGCTAAAATATTGAAGTTTTTCAACACCAGAATTCTCTGGATAATAACCTTGTTTCTTGGAAGACCAGAACTTTTCAACTTGCAGGGATGTTATTGTTTTCAAGAGACAAAATAAATATGTGGAGAGTAACTACCTGACATTAGTGTTTATTGATGCCTGATGGTTTGGCATTGTGGTCACATTCATTCCCCTTGTTAATCCCTGTCATGAGTCTGAGAAAGAGAGGGTGGGGGATGCAGGCTCCATTTACTTTTGAGGAAGCAGGCTCATGGAGGACTTTGCCTCCAGCTCTCTGAGCTCCAAACCTCTCCATCCAACCATAGGTTACAATCTGGGGTACAGTTACCAAATAATGAGCAAGCCAAGTCAGACAAAACATGTGTCCTAGCAATTTGTTGCCTTTTTTTCCCCTTAAAGCATCTGTTTTGTGGGTGTCTGAAAGGGCTCAGGCTTGTCCCACATCTTTTTTTTTTTTCTTCTTCCCTGTTTACTTGGATCCAGAATAAAATGAGAGCAAAGTCTCTTAATGCTTAGGGATGTTTTGACTTAGCCAAGGTGGTGGTGGTGGTGGTGGTGGTTGAAATCCTCAGGACTGTCACCATGACGCATCAAAGTCCAACAATTATCCCACCCCAACACTGTGGAGTCCTTGTATATATATACTCCACCATAGGTCTTTCACAGACCTCAGAAAGGACACTTGGTTATTTCGAGCTGAGCTAGGTGAAGAAGCAAGTAATTTCCCTTACTTTGAAGCAACTCATTTATATGACAATCACTTTTGAAAGTGGCCCGTAACAGTAGAAATAATACCGGTATGGGATTCTTGGCTTTTGGTTGTTGTAGTTGAGGTTAAAATAATACCATTCACGTCAATGTATATATAGGATTGAATTTTTAGGCTAATTTTTATTAATTGGTAATATTGCCTTTGTATTTTCAATCAATCCACATGGAAAGCACACCCATCTATACTAATAAAAGGGTAATATGCTAATTAGACTGGGAGACCTTTTGGGAGACCTTCTGGACTTCCTTCCGGACTTCTTTCTGGACAAAGCCATGGTGGTGCCCAGGCAGAGGCAGTTAGGGGCAATCAGGCTAGAAGCGGAGGGCAGTTTGGAGCAAGCAGGCTGGGGGAGGGGGGGAGAGCTCCGACAGTTGTGGTCGGTCAGGCTGCGGGGGGAGGGGGGGCAGTTGGGAGTGAGAAGGCTGGCAGGCAGGTGAGTGGTTAGAAGCCAGTGGTCCTAGATTGGGAGAAGGTGCAGGCGGGGCTGAGGGACAACCCTCCTCCTCCCCAGCCCTCCCACACACACGAATTTTGGGCACCGGGCCACTAGTTACATAATAAACTCTAGGGATTTAAACAGCACTTAAAACAAGTTTCTAATACATTACTTTAAATCATTCTTCTCTTCCCCTTAATCCTTGTGTATGATGTTCCCCCCACCTCAATTTTTTAATTGCTGAAAACTGTAGCTGCTGGAGATTGGTATTCTATAGAGTGAGCCCTCAACCTCATCACCTGGCGCAGGAGGTCTAGCTTGAGTGTCGTTTTATACAGGGATGGGAGAGTCGCAGGAAATCATCCCACAAGAGATGAAGTTTGTGAAACTAAAGCAAAGGGTGGCCAGTGCAGTGGAATCTTAGGTTATTTCCGGGCCTGAACAGAGGGGCGCTCTTCCACAGACCTGTGCACAGCCGGACCGGTGGTGGGACGAGCCCGGCGGGAGTACTGGTGTGTGTGTGTGTGTGTGTGTGTGTGTGTGTGTGTGTGTGTGTGTGTGTCAGGCTCAGGGTAGCTGGAAACCCCCAGGGTACCCGGCTACCAACGAATGCCCAGAGACCTGGACGGGTGGGCTTTCTGTAGCGAGCTGCAGAGCGGGCCACCAGAAAGCAATCGCTGCGGGGCTTAAGTTTTCCTAAAGTCTCAGCAGGGCTTTCCCTCCCGTCCGGACTCCCACCTCCAGTCCAGGGGGCTCCAGGCCACCCCACTTCCTTGCTTCCCCTCCCTCCCCCACCAGCTCTGGGCGGCCTCTGCCAGCCCGCCCCGCAGCTCCAGGCCCCAGGCGGCTCCGAGGGCGCAGGGGGCGGAGGCGCGGCGGGGGCGGGCCCGGCACCTCCTCCCCGCACCCCCCCCCCCCACTCCCCTCCGCTCGGCCCGGGTCAGTGGCAGGAGCGCCGCGCACCGCCAGCCACGGGGGGCGAGCGATGGGGGAGGCCGCGGAGGGGTGCGCCCTCGCGGAGTAGAGCCAACCGCGCACTTGGGAAGGCGGCGGGGCTGCGCGTCCCTCCGGCGCCCCGGGAACTTCAAAGCGGCGGGCGCTGCCCGGGCGCCAGTCCGCTCCGCCCGGTGGCCATGACCCGCGCGCTGGGCGCCGCGCTCCGCCTGGCGGTGCTGCTGGCCGCGGCCGCCGCGCTCTCCGCAGGTACGGGGGCGCCCCCGGGGGGGAGTCGGGGAGGGTCCGCGGGTAGAAGTGCAAGGTGCTGGGAGCAGACTGCCCTTGCGCGGGGCGGACTGGGAAGCGCCTGTGGGATCGAAGGGGCGCTGAGTTGGGCGCGGGCACCTGACGCCTGGCAGGCGTAGGGGCAGACAGGTGTGCTGGGGAGAAAGCCACCGGGGGAGGGGAAACGCGACAGGGTCGTGAGGGGTTGGGTAGCGCGTGGGGTGTGTGTGTGGGGGCTTTGGGTAGTGCATGAGGGAGGTGACAGATGGAGGGGCAGTTCGCAGAGGAGGGAGCGTGTGTTTCTGGGTGCGCGCAGCGCTGGGGGTTGAGTGGCACCAGGGTTCACCCCGCAGGTGCCAGGGGGCCGCTCCGTGCTGAGCTCCCGCAGAGCCGAGCTGGGAGGTGGGGGGCTGTGGAGAGGTGGGGGCGATTCAGACCGAGTTTGAGGAGGCCAGGGACACCTCCAAAGCCGCTGCTGCCAAGCTAACGTAGGCGGGAGTGGGAGCTTCAATCTGCGTGGTTTGCAACACACATTGCTTTCGAGGTATGGTCTTTACCAAGAGTTACAGGGGAAAAAAAATCTGGCAAGCGTCCCGGCGTTTATAACAGGTCTGTTTCTTGATAGGCTAAGTAGCCCCAGCTAGAAACCAAACTGTTTCTTTATATGGTTTACTAGAAACGGGCACAGGCGTCTTTGGTAAAATCGTAGTGTGCTGAGATAAAAAAAAAAAAAAAAAAAAAAAAAAAAGCATTTACAGTTCAGAAATTATTTTGGTTATAACATTATCCAGGGTTATGGAGATTAGGAGCAAGGATTCCTTGCTAACTCATTCTTGAAACATTTCCATCAGACATTTAAGACATTTGCACATAAACACCTGTTGTGTTTCTTTAGAGCTGCACTTTGCCCGGAGCTGACTTTGATGCATGGTTGTTTTCCCAGATGACAATGTGTTTTGACGTGAATAGCGATGCTCCAGGGTGGGTGGTTTTCCTCTTAGTGACAATTCAGGAGAATGTTGTGAATAGTATGATTGCTGCATGTACAGATGTCAGTGTTTCAGATGGGCTGAGAGGATCACTACATGCATTTATGTGAAATTTTGATTATTGGGGAGGGGGGGGGATGAATTAGGAAAGCAGTAACCAAGAGGTTATCAGGAAAATGATGAGAGAAAGTGAAATATTTTCAGTCAGAGGCAGTAAATTCATCAGTAGGAAAACAAAAACTTGACTGTGGATTCTTTGTAAGAAATAGGTGGGAACTCTGCTAACTTGGAAGGAATATTCAAAGAACTGATAGAATTTACCATAAAAAAAAAATAGTCTTCCAGATATTTTGACTAGACACCTGTGAAATTGCCTCCGCAGGCTGTCCATTCAGCTTTATTTATTTAGGGGAGCTAATAGCTTAGCTGAAGAGATTTAAAAAAGACTCAATTATCTTTTTATGTCGCTTGAAAGGTTTGTTTTATTCTATGACAGAATCTTTTAGAAAATTTCAGAGACCCTGGGTATAGCAGCATGGCAAAACAAGCTCTGCTATGTTCTGGAAAAGGAATGGAAACTTTTGACATTGAAATGTACAAAGTAGAAAGAAAAAAATAAAAGAATATCCATTCAAATTTAATTGTTTTCTCAAAACCTGAAGGCTCAGAAAAATGCCTGATGTGGAGATAATGTGTCAATATATCGATAGTAGAAAAGTGCTTACCAAACTTGAATTTTACAATGAACTTCTTAATTATTTTTAAATCTCTTAAAGAAACTTTATCCTTCATTGTATCCCACAGAAATGTGTACAAATCTTTCATTATTTGGTCAGAGGTTCAAGGTTATTTATTTACTTATTTATTTGTTATTGTTGTTAATCCTCATCCGAGGATATGTTTCCATTGATTTTTAGGGAGAGGGGAAGAGAGAGGGAAAGACAGAGAAACATCAATGTGAGGGAAACACATGGATTGGTTGCCTCCTGCAGGAGCCCTCACTAGGCTTGGGTAGGGAGGAGATTGCAATCAAGGTACGTGCCCTTGACTGGAATCAAACCTGGGACCCTTGGGTCCACAGACCGACACTATCTGCTGAGCCTGACCGGCTAGGGCTTATTTATTTATTTATTTAACCTTCTAAGTTGTTTTTCTCATGTGGTTACCTGGTCACCTTTACAAATTACATTGTTAATGGTATTGGCCATTTTTGAAAATGTACATGCCATTATTGGCATGTTATATTGAGAAGCTGCTATTGACAAGGTGACATAGCAAAACTGTATGACAGAAAACACCACCTTCCAGTTTGGCTGTGCTGAGCACCAGACGTAGGACCTTAAATATCTAAGGACATTGATAAACCAATAAAACGCTTTTCTTCACAGCAGCTCTATCATCTCAGATCTGTCATGCATCAACAGCATAATAGAAACTATTGCTCCTTGATGAGAATCTCAGTGGGTAATCACTGATGAGAATTTAGAGGAAATATTTATTGGTCCGGATTGGCTAAAAACGAGGCTCCTCTGTGTTCCTCTAATTACCTAGTTACTGGCTTTCTTCTGACATGACCTCCCAACAGTTATCCTAGGTACTAAACAAAGAATTGACAGAAAATGTCTCAAATTAAAGTTGTGCTTTGGATATTACATAGATTCACACATTCTCCACTAATTTTATGGAATTCCTTGGTCTTCTGGTTGGGAAAGGATTACTAAACTGAAAACTGTTCCATTTAATAACCAGGATGGAGGTTGGTCTTTCAGATAGTGAGATTCTTACCACACACACCACCACCACACCCTACACATCCCCACACACACTCCTCACTACCACCAACAGCTATCCCTTCCCTCTATACCCTTTAAGCTTTGCTGGATGTGAAAGTGAATGCCTTGGATTGACTGAGTATATAAATGCTAAAGGTATTGTCACCTTTGCCCTTCTTTAAGCACAATCATTTGTTGGTTGATGGACACAAATGTGGCAAGAGGCTCTCTGTTTCCAAGGAACAAACTTTTCTAGCCCAGAAGAAACTCTGTGCAGAAGTCCTTGGGGGCAGATTTCTTCACTGACGATAATGCTTCAACCGTTTTCTAGCCTCAGATATACAAAGTGTAAAACAGGGAGTCCCCTGATTCACTATAATCATAGAAAAAATAAAGGATTTGTGGTATGAGAGGAAGAATTTTGACCCAAGCAATGGAAGAATAGACCCTTATGTGGGTTGAGGCCTACTGCAAGAAAATCAGGTCTGGAGACAGAACAGTGCAGATTTGAAGCCCAGTTTTGGTTATGTTGCGTTTAAAATGCTTATTAGACATTGAAGTGGAGATATCAAGTAAGTAATTGGTTTTATGCACCAAAAGTTAAGGTTATAAAACTGGTCAGAAGATAAAAAAAAAATGAAGCTAAGGGCACTTATAGATAATTTTAAAAGATACATTAAATAGAGTCACAGGTCTAGCAATCACAGAACATCCAGTTAAATTGAATTTCGGATAAACAACAGATAATTTTTGAGTACAAGTATGTTCCAAATGTTACACGGGACATACATATATTCAAAATTAATTGCTGTTTAATTCTACTTTAATTGGTGTTCTGTACTTTTATATGGCAATCCAACATTAAAGAAATATTGTGGTGAGATGACTAGCTTCTGAGTAGTATAGTATAGTATAGAGTAGTATAGTCCTATTTTCTAGTCCTTATCTCTTAAAACTTGTGTTCTAGCTCTGATACTGCCCCATATGCATCTCTGAATGGGTCACTGCCAGCTCTTTGTACTATCTCCACTGCTTCTGAGTCAGCCTTTCATGAGTAGCTTATTAGGAAAGGATGAGTGAAAAAGATAAGATTAACTCTCTAGACTCCCTGCAAATGATGGTTAGTGAAAGCAGTTGGTTTTGACCAAATTTATTGTCTTTTGAGTGTGATTGTTATTTTCAAATACATTTTCAGAATACTTTCCTTTTGAATAAACATTTATGTTTTTCTTATAGAGGAACTGAGATCCAGTTTGTTGACATTCTTTAGGCAGTGCTTGCATCACTTACTGTAAATAAGAGAAGGTTAAGAGGAGAGGTGAATGGATAGAATAGGGCTTGGAAGGGCTTGAGCCCCATAGAGACACAGTTCGAGGTTTAAGAGCCTGTTCCTAAGAAAGCTGTTGCAAGTCCTTTGGGAGAGGGGCAGGGGCATTTAAATGTCAGCCAGAGGCTGTTTAGCTCCTGATGTAGCTATGTTTTAAGCTGCTACCAAATGACTTGCATTGGCTTTATTTTGCAATTTGTAGGGGAAAGTATCCTAAGAATGAATAACTATAGGCCTGGGTCATTACAAATCTCAAACAGATATGTTTAAATATAAAGGGTTTGTTTTAATAAACATTTAAAATGAGAGCTAATTTTTAAGTATAAATAGAAATAAACGGGGGTGGGGGGATTTTAAGCACAAAGAATATACAAGGAATGTGTCATTCCTTATAATTTATATATGTGAGGTTTCTTCTGGATTTTCCATTGCTTTGGCCTTCTGTGTCTTAAGTTTTTCCCAGCTAATATTCAAAATCTCAAGGTTTCTTCTTACATTGCTTATGAAATTTGGATAATATTAGGATATATTCATAAGTGATATAGAAATGTTACTTTTGCTAAGGGACCTAGGAATACCTAAACATGACTTTGGCTCAATTGTTCCTTACCTCTAGTCTAGAAGAGGTTACTAGGGGATACCTAGAAAAGGGAGGCAAGATAAGGCAAAGTAATTGTTTTGTTACCTGGTATTTTAATCCTAAATTCCATGGCAGAACTCTTTTATAAACTTTTATAAACTTTTTCTAATTACTAAATAGCCTAAGGATAGAGAAAGAAAGTGTGTGATAAATCAGAATCTAGAATCCTGACACTGATACAGTCAAAAGTCTATGCAGTGCCTGGCAAAATAAAGCCAGAGTGCCAGAGCACCGAACCTCTGCTTTAGTACCTG